ATAAAGATACCTCTTCATTTCTTATTTATATCCATTTATTTCTTTCTCTTGTCTTATTGATTTAGCTAAGTATTTAAGCACCATACTGAATAAAAGTGGAGAGAGCAGACACCCTTGTTTCTTGATCTTAGTAGAAATGCTTTGAGTCTCCCTTTAAAATGATAAGTTTTAAAATGATAAGTTTGCAATATGTGACTTTATTATGTTGAGTACCCTCATTTCTAATCTCTTTCAGAACTTCAAAAAACCTAAATGTGTCATTGTTATTACTGTGTGTATGTGTGTGTATGAGAGAAAGAGAGAGAGGAGAGAGGGGAAAGGAGAAAGAGAGAGAGAGTTATGTATGTGTGAGTGTGTGGAGATCAGGACTCTCAGTTCTTTCCTGCCACCTTATGAGATCCAGAGATCAAACTTAGGTTGTTATGCCTGCATGCAAGTGTCTCTACCCAATGGGCCATCTGACTGGACCCTCTCTGTTTTTCATTATTCTGTTTTTAATGTATGCATTGGTATCTATGAAGTTTCCTTTTAGGATTACTTTTATTGTATCCCACTGGTATTGTCATGGTGTGTTTTCATTTTCATTTAGTTCTAGAAATTTAAAACATTTCCTTCTTGATTTCTTCAATGGTTCATTCATCATTTAGCAGTTTCATTAAAAATGCTGCCTAGAGTTAAGACTTTAGACTTTAGACTTAGGTTCACTGCGGTACTTCCTTATAGCCGAGAGACACACACCCTATTGTTTCAATCTAAAAGTTAAATGATGAATAAATTTTTCTTCTCTCTCTGCCCAGAAGCCAATTAGGAGGGGCATCACACTGATTTTACCCACTTCATTGGTTATCAAAGAGCCTGAAAGTAGACCATGAGGTCATCACTCTGGAGTTCAGCCTCAGAGGCCACAGGGTGGGGGTGGTGAGGAAATGTCCATAGATAGATGCTCTTGTAAACTCAGCAGTGTGTTCTAATGGACTTTGCTTTGGGCATTAAAAATAATCTCCTCTTTGACTTCTCTGGTTCCCTTCTAAGTTCTCGTAATACCAATAACTCTTGCTTTACTTCTTTCTCACATCTCTTCACAGGTATGAGTCAAGGACTTCCTTTCTTTCATGTTCCTGCTGGTATATAAATAAAAGCACTAATGCAATGTTGGGGTTTTTTAGATAGGCCTACTGGAGGGCCTACTTTGACTGCTATATCTGACACCCTATTCATCTGTAAGAAGCTGGTTTGGTTGTTGCTCCAATTCCATAATAACAATTAGGGTTATCTTTTGGGGAAGGGAGGATGAAAAAAACAGGAGGTAAGATTTGGTTGGGCAGGCTAAGGCAAAAAACCCAAAGAAAGTAACCAGCTTATCTCTTGGCTAAAAGCCAGAAATGTCCCTGGCACTCTTAACACTTCATCCTTGCATCAGGCTAGACATAACAAAAGCATTTGAGGGGCTATGATCTCTGATCTGGCTTCTAAATGGTTCTTGGGTATCTTTAGAAGGGGTAATGTTATAGCAGCAATGAGCCTGCTAAGAGAGAACTCCCTTTGGTCAATAGAATAGAATCTCTGGCCTGGGTGGAGACCTAACCTGTTAGTTGAGCAAAGTCAATTGCCAGGCCAAGGGATCACCTCCTAGGAAAGTGAGCTCACATTAAGCCAATATTTAAGAACATGTTGATGTTTTTACTTAAAAAAATGCATTTGCATCTCTCTCTTTCTCTCTCTCTGTGCATGTTCATGTGTGGGTGCATGCCTGTCTGGAGGTTCACAGTGTTCTCCCACCACATGCTCTTTCCTTGCTCCCATCCTCTCTATCCACTATGGTTTCACTAGCTAGGATTTTATTCACCCTTGGCCAGTTGTGATTATAAATACATTCTTAAGTCAGTCTCTGTTAGTCTGGATAGAATTAGGTAAGTACAGATATCCTATAAGCTTTTTGCCAGACTGCTTAGGTCATTGTCCTGCTGCATCATTGACAGGAATATCCCATTTTCTAGTGTTTAGTGTTTGGTGCTTATTGACCTTAACTCTTTAGTCTTTTATTTATTTATGTTTTTTAAAAAAGATTACATATCAATAAAACATCATAATATAAAACATTTTACTCCCATAAATATTTAAAAGTTGTTTTTTTAATCCAGTTTTTAAATTTTGAATTCTTTGTAAAACTCCTACATTTCCTTTTTAAAAACATTTAAAATCTCTCAACTATGGAATCCTACAATATCAGAAAATAAGTTAAGTACCTATTTTATTTCAAGAGAGAAGAAACAGGGCACAACCATAATCTGGACAAGGCAAAACCAAACTCTAACAGTGCAAACATCTCAGCGCTCAATATCTGGGATTCATGCACAATCTTTCCGCTTTCCCCAAGAGGCTTGGGTCACCTCTCTGGCTCTGCTCTTGGTGGCACATTTACCCTGTCTTCCAGGCTCCAGCTGGCTCCATTTCATTGTGGATGTTGCCCCTGGTGGCCATCATATGGCACTGTCATCTCCAAAACTGCTGATGTTCCCATTGCAGCTGGGCTGACTTTTCACCAATAGCCTTTCCTGTGCTCCCTGAGGACCTCCAACACTGCCACTCAGTGCCAAGCCTTAGCTGTTCTCCATGAGCCCTTCATGCCTTTAAAACCAATACCACCTGGGTGACTCTTACATGACAAAGTTGGGCTGCCAACATGAGATATGTTCTTGTATATGAACACATGGAAATGAAGGTTTAGCACCTTATTAAACAAGCATGAGTTTTAAGATAACATTTTTTGTTACACATTTTTACAAATATTCAACCATACCCAATATACGTACAAATCTTGAGTTACAGAAAGTTCACATAATAATCTTACAAATCATGAGATAAGGTTTAGATCTTAGCAAAAATTTTAGACAATTAAATGAAACCAATAATCTAATCTTTTTTGGCTGTTTTGCTTTGCTGTCTTTTCCCTGTCACAAAATCAGGTGGCTCACTTGACATAAGTATGCTTGGGTCTAGAGAAGGGAGACTCACAAACTGATCCCAGAGCCTGCTTTTCAATAAAGTAGAACAGCATAAAACAGCTTTAATACTATCCACACACAAAAGACATTTGAATTCCTGATAAACTGAATCCAGTGACCAGAAAGCCGGAGAGAAGACATTCTGAGTCTTGGCCATTGAAGCAGCCAGTGTCAGCGGTGCCTAGTGGCCGGAGGTGGCAAAGACAGCAAAACCAAAACCAATATACACAAAACACAGAAAGCTCCCTCATTTATATTTCTCCTTTTTTTCATTCACCCTATCTCTTCTGTCTGTTCTCTTTGCTTTGACACCTCTCTGTCTCCTTTGTCCCTTTTCACTTTATCCTCTTTCTGTCTCCTCTATACCACTACTGTGCTTTCCTGAGCCTCTTATCTTAGCTTTTTGGACCTTAGACCTGTTATCTGTGTAATATGTCATGTTTGGGAGGGAAAGGCAGAATTAGATCACATTTCCCATGAAGGCTTTGCTGGGTAGTGGTGGTATTGATATCTAATAAATATTTCACAAATGGATTGGGGAGGGGAGAGTGTGCAGAAGGTATGAGGAGAGTTTGATTCTCTCTCTCCCTCTCTCTCTCTTTTTCTGTGTGTGTATTGAGATAGTGTCTCATGTAGTCAAGGCTGGCCTCAAAATCATTATGTAGCCGAGAAGGCCTAGAACTCTCCATCTTCATGCCTCTATCTCCCAAGTACTGGGATTACAGGTGTGTCCCATGACACTGAACACGGAACTGTTACCTCCCTTGTAGTTATGGAAGCACAGAGTTGGCATTCAGAACTGGCACTGATAAAGTGGCCCTTCAGCTCAGTCTCCTCTCTCCAACTTGCTCTTTGCCAGGCTCATGAAAATGTATTCATTGCAAGAAAAACAGACCTGGCAACTTGCTGGGAGACTCATGAGGAAACCTCACATCCCATGGCCTTCTCTCAGGGTGACACAGAACAAAAGCCAGCTGTTTGGAGAGATCTTCTTCCCACTCTTTAAAAACACTTCATAATATCCACTAATTCACATTTCAAGACCCCTTTATTACCAAAACAAACAAAGAGACTGGCATTTAAGTAAATTATACAAATTTCTCAAGAGGTAAGGTTTCCAGCCTTCCTGGGGAATCTATGTCACAAGTCAGTGTCTGTAAGAACAGCCACATGTATTGAAAATCTGGATTACTCTGTTCCCTTGCACTCCCCCTTCCCTTGCCTTAGTCATGTCCAGGGCAGCACTCTGCATTCTTTTCTAAGAGTTGCAACTGCAGAGTTTTCTTCGGCACCTTTTCTGTACCCCTACCCCTGCACCTGTGTTTCTAATCACACTTTCACCACCAGTTCTATGAGTGTATTTAGACTCAATATGTTGCAAGCCCCAACCCCAGGCCACTGTGAGTCCCTTTCAGTCCAGGCCTGGCCTGCAGGTTAATGAGATATAGATACTTGGTTTAAAGGGGACTTATAATGTCCTGGGGCTCTCTGACTTTTCTTTACTTCCTGGACTTTGGAGGAGGTGGAGTAGAGGAGGACAAATTGTCATTGGTTGGGGTTCTTTTTCTCCTGGAATTTGGCACTTTGAGTGCTGGGCACAGTGAATCCCAGATAACTTTGTCTTTCCACCTTCCAAGTTTTGGGCTCCATTGGCAGCTAGATGGCATAATGAGTTCACTGCGAAGCAACAGCTGCAGCCAAGAATGTGTTGGCTCTTGGTCAGAGCCCTGTTCTTTAACTTTGCGAATACTTGCTAGCTCACCAGCTTACTTAACACATGGACACATAACGAAGGTCAGGCTGAAGTTAGCAATTGGGTTGTTTTCCCAAGCTGGGCCAGTCCAGCCTATTGGCACAGGGGTCATTACACTATAGGAACTTGGAGACTAATGAGGAGAGGCCATATTTTCTGTGTACTTGCATGGTAGTTTCACAAGATGTGTGTGTGTGTGTGTGTGTGTGTGTGTGTGAGAGAGAGAGAGAGAGAGACACACACACACACAGAGGGCTATTTACTTTCAAGTCAACAGTGGGCTATCTCCAGTTATCTCCCTGTTTACATGAGAATTTAATTCCTATTGTCCTTTTTCTTAGGGTAAAAAGGTCCTGAGATTGTTAAGAGTTCCCTGTAGAGGAAGACCCAGTCTGGGATAGTCCTTCACATCTGTACCCAGTTAAGCTCTGAAGCTGGTTCCTTAGTACATCCTCCTGTGAACCTCCCATCACAGCTTTGGGGTGATAAGGGAGAGTTCAAATGACTGTCTCTTTCCAAGTGACAATGAACATGGCAAATTTCAGAAGGAGAGACAATATGAGCTCTGAGGTCAGGTGGGCTCTCGGGGCCTAGAACCCACCAGCTTGTCTTGAGTTTGCATTAGCAACCTACTTCTTCTTCCATGTCTCAAGTACATAGAGGGTTTCTCAAAAGATTTTGTGCAGAATAGCTGTCGCTCTATCATCAGAAGATTCAGCAGGTCACTGGCTCCCAGAATGGGGCAGCCTCCAGGTGGTGAAGATTCAAGAGGCTCAGTTAGCTCCTTGGTGGGCTGTCCCTGGAGCAGGATAGCCTTGAGTTCTGTCCACTACCCACAGTAGAGGCTGAAGTGCTGGACAGCAGCAGAAGGCTTCAACATTCTTAGGACAAGGAGAGAGAAACGGGCACAAAGTAAGAGGCTCCTGGACTGTGGATAGTATCGTCTCTTTGAGGCACAGAGCTGACAACTAGAAGGCAAGTGGAGGGATAAGCTTTAACATTCTAACGCAGTTCATCCCTGTGTCCCACGGCAGCCCCAAACCCTCCGAGGTCAAATCACAAAGGCCACAGACCCGCTTGAACTGCCTCCCAGCTCAGCACAGTTGCTCTTATCATTCTGCCCTTGGCTCACTCTTAAGGCTGGAGGTCAAGGTGTCTATCAGCTGCCATGGGTGGGGCTTTCGTAGATGGTGTGAATGAGCTTATTGCTGGCCCATGCTTGAGTGGGAAGGGGAAGGTGACGAGCTGGGTTCATCAGACTTTCATCTTTTTCAGGGCAGGCTCTTCTGGCTGCAGAGGCCGATGGCTCTCTCCCAGAGATACAAGGAGGGAGGGAAAGGTGGGAGAGAGACAGGAGTTGAGAGAGGATCTAGAGTCTTGGTGGACATACTTTTCTCTCTGTCACTCTTGTGGTCCTGAGCTTATTGTCCATGGAAATCACAGGTGCCAGGCACTCAGGAGGCAGTATGCAAACCAAACGGGCCCTCACAGGGCAGTCAGGGTCTCTGTGTGAAACATGGTCCCGAACATCTCCTGCAGAGACCACAGGAAGGAAGGGTGAGATGAAGGGAGAACGTTAGATCTGCTGGAGTTAGAATGACTGCAACCAAGAGGTGACAATGTACCACAGGCCAGAATGAAGCACCCTAGGTGAGACTGTACAAGTGTGCAACTGAGCAGGGGAGAGACAGGCTAGCAGAAGACATGAACTCGTACCGGGTGATGGGAGAAGGTGCTAGGTACATTTACTTGTATTCCTCCTGTGTTGTCTTTTAAGACTGTCACCTTTTTTTTTTAAATTATGTAACACCAGTGTCAAGACTAGAGAAGCTGTATTATTTCTATCCCAGGTTTTTAAAATATTTTTAATGTGCTGGAGATTCCAAGATGGCACAGAAATCAGCCTGTTAGTCCTCAGATGTCTCTCACTTGCCATAAGCACTCTGAGTGACATACTCAGAGGACCACAGAACTCAAACTTGGGAAGAATGGGAAGAGATGCTATCTTTTAACAGACCCAAAGCCAGATTTCTCTAAATTTAGTCACTTGCTTTCTTTTAATTCAGGGCACTGGAATGGTGATAAATTTCACAGGCCCCAAGCAGGCAGTACAGCTTGTATTGCAGAGCTTTTAGTTTTAGATGCGTATCCAGTTGTAGTTATATTTTATTTGTGCCCCTAAATCATATGGTTCTCCAAGAATGCAGCTTCCAAAGAACAGAGGCCTTTGTTTATTGCTGTTTTCCCACCAGCAACAGCCTTAGGGAAGCCGTAGGTGTTCCATAAATAGCTCATGAATTAATGAAAGACAAGTGGCCTCTCCTGTCAGTCATGTGGGAAGCAAATTTACCCAAATATCTCTTATTTTACAGACAATAACAGGCCCAGTGGTGTAGTATAATTTGGCCACTATCACAGGGTTGGTACAATGGAGAGTTAAGAATAGATAGCAAGGGACTGGAGGATGGCTCAGAGGTTAAGCACACTGGCTGCTCTACCATAGGTCCTGAGTTCAATTTCCAGCAACCACATGACAGCTCACAACCATCTAGAATGAGATCTGGTGCTCACTTCTGGCATGCAGGCAGAATATTGTATGCATAATAAAGAAATAAATCTTAAAAAAAAAGAACTTCTTTCACACACACACACACACACAAACACACACACACACACACACACACACAAGATGGCAATTCTTAGCCAGGTGTGGTGGCACAAGTCTTTAATCCTAGCAGTGAGGAGGCAGAGGCAGGTGGATCTATGAGTTTAAAGCCAGCCTGATCTACAAACCAATTTCCAGGGCAACCAGGGCTACACAGTGAAACCCTGTCTCAAAACAACAATGACAACAACATAGATAGCAATTCTCTAGCACTTGGTCCAGAAGCTCTCTCATTCCGTAGGATGCCTCTGTAAGTGTGTGTGTGTGTGTGTGTGTGTGTGTGTGTGTGTGTGTGTGTGTG